TTTTTTTTTTTTTATTTCTTTAAGTTGTACTTCACCTTTCTCTGGTGCTTCCTTGATTGGCTTATTAGTCAACCTTCTGAATTCTTTTTCTGACTATTCAGAGATTTCATCTTGGTTTGGATCCATTGATAGTGAGCTAGTATGATCTTTTGGGGGTGTTAAAGAACCTTGTTTTGTCATATTAGCAGAATTGTTTCTCTGGTTTCTTCTCATTTGACTAGACTATGTCAAAGGGAAGATTTGGGACTTTAGGCCTGCTGTTCAGACTCTTTTGTCCCATGGGGTGCTCCCTTGATATGGTGCTCTCTGCTTTCCCCTAGGGTTGGGGCTTCCTGAGAGCTGAATTAAAGTAATTGTTATTTCTCTTCTGGATCTAGTCACCCAGTGAAGCTACCTCCTGTGCTCTGGGCTGATACTGGGGAGTGTCTGCAAAGAGTTCTGTGATGCGATCCATCTTCAGGTCTCTCAGCCATGGATACTAGCACCTGCTCCAGAGGGGTAGCAGGGGAGTGAAGTGGCCTCTGTGAGGGTCCTTGGTTGTATTTTTGTTAAGTGTACTAGTTTTTGTTGGTTGACCTCCAGCCAGAAGATGGCACTTTCTTTTTTTTTTCTTTTCTTTTTTTATTCTTGCTATAAAGAACTGTCTGAGACAATGTGAACTTTCAAGACCACATCAGTTGCAGTAGTACAGGGAGCATCAGGCAGTGGGCAGGGCCATAGGGCTCCCAAGTGATTATGTTCTTAGTCTTAGGCTACCAGGGCGGGTAGAGAAAGACCATCAGGTGGAGGCAAGGTTGGGCTTGTCTGAGCTCAGACTCTCCTTAGATGGGGCTTCCTGTGGCTGCTCTGGGGGCTGGGGGTGTGGTCCCCAGGTCAGTAAAGTTATGTTCCCAGAGAGATTATGGCTGTCTCTGCTGCATTACATGTGTTGCCAGAAAAGTGAGAGAATGCTGGCAGCCACAGGCCTCCCTCAGCTCCCATACAGCCCCAAGCCCGAAAGATCAGTCTCACTCAGATGGGCTTTGGAAATCCCCAGAAAGCTACTCAGTATTCCCAAAATGTCTCTCCTTCAAAATTTATTTAATAGACTCTGTAAGATTATATATCAGAGAAAATGAAAATCTTAGAAGTCTTTTAAAATAAATATTGGTTGAAAGCCTTAACCCTCATATTGAGCAAGTAATCTTAACTTGCTACATCTGCCAGAATTAAAATTCAGATTTTAAAAAATGAAGCAGAAATCAGAACCAATTCATACATATCAGTGAGTTTTCTGTTTCTGTATTTTTATACCTCATTCATGGCTAAAATTTTAGAACGAGAGCTGTAAGATCTCTATATGCATCTGCCTGTATGTTTATGTATATTTATGCATATTGTGTAGATGTGATATTTACCTCCAAATAGTATTGCCAAAATCACCTAAAGAACGCTAATTGGTTTAGAAGTAAAAAAAAGTGCTCCACCAAGAGCTGTGGCTCACTCCTGTAATCCCAACAGTTTGGGAGCCAGAAGCAGGCAGATCACTTGGGCCAGGAGTTTGAGATCAGCCTGGCCAATATGGCTAAACCTCGTCTCTACTAGAGATACCAAAAAGTTTGGCCCAACGTGGTGGCACATGCTTGTAATCCCAGTAACTCTGGTGACTGAGACACGAGAATTACTTGAACATACTTGAACGCAGGAGGTGAAGGTTGCAGTGAGCCAGGATTGCGCCACTGCACTCCAGCCTGGGTAATAGAGTGAGACTCTGTCTCAAAAATAAAAGTAAATTAGTGCTTTTAAGTATTCCTAAAACTCTCAGAAATATAGGAACTAACCTGGCAACCTAAAATAATCAAAAGAGTCAGAATGTAGTTTAAAGAGAGCTTATTCAAAAACAAATATTGAGAACTGCAGCCCAGAATACACTTCCAAGTTGCCTTGGGGAGTGTACGAGAGAACGAAAGAGAGGCTAAAATTTTTCAAGAAATAAAGGACGAATCAGGAGAGGGGTGATTACAAATGTTGTCGGGAATTCTCTTCAGTTTATAGAAATAACATTGGTTAGTGATTGGTTATACATTGTTGAACTAAAGGATGTATGGCATTTTATGGCTACTTGGTGTCTGTTAGTCTAGATTCCACAGAGCAAGCTGCCCTGAAAGATAATTATTTAGCTCAAAGGGGACTGAGACGTAACTGCTATTATATTTTAAATGCATTTCTGGGACTGATAATTTAAAGGGGCTTACATCCCTGAGATAAAAGTTTTTTTCTTTCTCAAATCCAAATGCTTTTCAACTTCATATGATTTAGGAAAACCTTTGGTAAATAAAACTAATTTAATATTATTGGCTTAATAAAAACAGGTTTGTCTTCAGAGTTGTTATCATTAAATATAATGCAGACATACATTTTTATTCCAACTGGTTTTACTAGTCAAATAAATTTATGTTATCTCTACTGGATATTTAAGATTACGAAATTATAAATTCAATCTAAGAACAAAATATACAGTAAAAATGAATTGCATGATGTATGTCAAACACGGCAACAAAAAGAAGCCATATGTTAATTTTTTAGGTTTTTTGCTTCTATGAGTTTTGATATTTGCCTAATAAGAAACTAACTTAAGATGGTGGCTACTTTATTTAATATCTCATGAAATCATCATGAAGAATCCAAGAATACTTGCTACAAACATGTGAATTAAATGGATGTGAGTAAGATGAAAGTTAATAAATGAATTTCTCAACCATAAAAAAGACTGAGCTGGGACCTCTTTTAGGGGCCTGACCAGCCCCTCCCCACCCCAAGGATGAGGAAATTTAAAAAGTCTGGAGCTCCCTCAAGGGAAATTCCAGGCACCTAGCTAACTCTGAGAAGTAAGTAAGTAACTTGTTAGGGAAGAATATAATAGATACCCAAGGAAGTTAGAATCCTAATATGTTTGATTTCTCTATAGAAACTAAAGGAAACATCTTAACATATGTCCCTGAGTTGTTTTTCAGAAACCTAGACCCTCACTAAATGGATCTACTGTCAGGTAGACCTCAGATAAGGGGGAGTTGAGGACTAAACTGACCTCCATTCTTTGTTCTAAATTTTTCCCTAAGCGGGCCTGAAGAAGGTCATACCCAGGTGCTAGAACTAACATTCTTTTCTGCTGATCCCAAAATTTTAAACAAAGCTTCTCTTCCTTAAGCAATTGGAAGTCAGAAAATCTTGGAATAGGCCTTCCTTTTAGGCCAAAGCCAGTGTATAACCTCTATGTATGATCTTGCCAGTAACTTCCAATTTTCCGAAATTTACCCCTGCCTTTAAAAAGCCCTTGGCTGGGTGCAATTGCTCACACCTGTAATCCTGGTACTTTGGGAGGCCAGGGTGGGCCAATCACTGGAGGTCACGAGTTCCAGGCTAGTCTTAAAGTCACAGTAGGTCATTTTAGCAGCTACTAGGTAGAACTGGTGTTGGTGACAACAGGCCCCTTCAGCAGCTGGATTTAAGGAAAATTCAATTATTAGATCTGGTACTATGTACCTGACTGCTTTTAACCCCCGTCCCTTCACACTGATTTAGTTGGATATGACAAATATGATCCAACGTGTACAATCAACTTTAACATATATTGGCATATTTACCTTCATTTGAGGAAATATTTTCTCATTATAAGGAATGAGTCCAGAGTAGAAATTATAGTCAGCATACCCAGTCCAGTAAAAGGGGTATTGGTGGACAGGGATCTTCACAATGTAAAATTTTTCGGGGATGAAAAATAATATTTACCCAATGGGAGTTCATAGAAAGGAAATGACACTCAGATACTAGACAAAACAGTTAGACTCAAGGGCTTACTCACTATTGTAACAAAGGAAAACAGATTTGGGATTCAGGGGATGGTAAATTTTGGTGCAGTGACTTGGAAATATATAAAGAAAATAATGGAAGATAAGGATTATTTTAGTAAGGTCTGATCATGCACTTCATCTTAGTTTTGATTCTCTGTCCCTAGGCATGAGTGGGTGGGGTGGGGTGGAAGAAACTTCACAAAGAAAAACATGCTCTGTTTTTAGGCAGAAAAGAGGAGAGCAGAAAACTTTTCCTGCATTTCCTTTTTTATGTTTGTTTTGAGATGGAGTCTCACTGTGTCACCCAGGCTGGAGTACAGTGGGGCAATCTCGGCTCACTACAACCTCTGTCTCTCAGGTTCAAGTGATTCTCCTGCCTCAGCCTCCCAAGTAGCTAGAATTACAGGCACCTGCCATCACATCCCGCTACTTTTTTTATTCTGTAGTAGAGATGGGCTTCACCATGTTGGTTAGGCTGGTCTCAAACTCCTGACCTCAAGCAATCCATCCGCCTCAGCCTCCCAAAGTGCTGGGATTATAGGTGTGAGTCATCGCGCCTGGCCTTCTTCCTGCATTTCTTGATTCTCAATGGACTTTAAGACTATTTGGAAGTAGATAAATATCACTTCTACACAAGGTACATATATATATGTAAACATACAGACAGATACACATAGAGATCTTATAGCTTTCATTCTAAAATTTTAGCCATGAGTGAGGTATATATACAGAAACACAAAACTCACTAATATATATGAATTGGTTCTAATTTCTGCTTCATTTTTAAAAATCTGAATTACATTTCTGGCAGACATAGCAAGTTAAGATTACTTAACTCAATATGAGGGTTAAAGCTTTTGACCAATATTTATTTTAAAAGACTTCTAAGATTTTCATTTGCCCTGATATGTAATCTTAGAGAATCTATGAAATACATTTCAGAGGAGAGACATTTTGGGAATACTGAGTGGCTTTCCGGGGGTTTCCAAAGCCCATCTGTTTGGATAAAATATGCAGCCTGTTTCCAATTAGCCCTTTTTCCTTTTCAGCCTGAGGTGGTTGTTTTAGTCAACTGAGAAGTTACACCAAAATGCCCTTTGGGATGAGAGCCAGAGCCCTTTCCTTTAGATGTTTGCATTTTAAAGGGATGGCTCTCAGGCATTCTGGGTGGCGGAAGATTTACATCTCAAAGGGACAGAGAAATGATGTTAGCTTTCTAAAAGCTCTAAGAAGGAGTTCAGGAGTGCTGGGTGCAGTAGCTCATGCCTGTAATCCTAGCACTTTGGGAGGCCAAGGCGAGAGAATCACAAGGACAGGAGTTTGAGACCAGCTTGACCAGCGTATGCCTGTAATTTCAGTTACTTAGGAGCTTGAGACAGGAGAATCGCTTGAACCTGGGAGGTGGAGGTTGCAGTGAGACAAGATTGTGCCACTGTACTTCAGCCTGGGCAACAGAGCGTGACTCCATCTCAAAAAAAAAAAAAAAAAAAAAAATGAAAGAGTTTAGGAACATATTTGTCTATTATCAGAACCTAGAGTAATTAGTATTTAAGTTTTTTTAAGTGTAAGACAGTCCCTTTCGTAATGTCCTGACCTTCTACTACAGAATCTACAAGCATTTTGATGGAGGCTTTGGGATTGGTAAGAAAGATGAGTGGGCTTTGGGTTACCTCTAGAGCTGCATTCCTGTAAGACTCAATTAGTAAGACAAGGGCAGTTGTTTTTAACTCTTGAAAGATTTGGTTGGCAGAATCAATGATAACATTAAGAGATTGTCCTATCCTTCCAACTACACACTGCAGATGGTCCCTGATTTATTGTCAATGGCTACTGTGAAACCTAATTCTTGTCTCCTTACTATAAAAGAATTTCAGCAAGAGACACACAGCAAGGGAGTTGTAGCATAGAACAATTTGTTGCAAAGGAGAAAGAATACTCTGAAAGTTAGGTGCAGAATAGACAGTACACCCTAAGAGACAATTCAGAGAGGGCTGCTCATGAGGATGAGACAACATTTACCATTACCAGTGAAACTCCCTATATGAAGTCTTACATGATTATTCATAAGGATGTGTGGGAAGAGGTGTTGCTAGGAAGCATGTTTTGGGCGGTCCTCTAAGTGCACATGCGCAGTAGCTGTACATGCATGTTTATACATTACGTGTCTTATTAATATTTTAAAGCTCCACTCAGGGGTGTGATTTTTACTGTTATAATGAGCAAAGGGTCAGTCTGATGACAGGTAAAATCATAATGCACATGCTCTCTGCACAGGGGAAGTTTCCTATTGGAAATAGCTTTGCTTGAATGAGCTTGACTACAATGCAAACACTGGGCTTATTGGGGAAGCATGGCTGCTGCATCCTGAGGACGTAGTTACTTCCTTGACTACCCGGTTACTATCCTGCCTCATTACAATGGTTCCATTTCTGATTTTTTAACTGTATGATGGTGTGAAAGTGATACACAGTCAGTGGAAACTGTACTTCAAGTGTTGAATGATTTTTCTCAGGGGTAGCCATATGCTACTCTTGTGGTGCAGGACATCAACAGCAAGCCTAAGCATACAGTTGGTCACATAATCACAAGGATGACCACAACTGATACTCCATAGGCGAGGAACAAAGAGAACTTTCATCTGAGGAATATGAGCTCTTTCCTATTATTAGGCCCGAGAGGCATTAAAATGAGACAGCAATCACTCCCTACTTCCCCTTTGAGCTATGTATTCATCTCTTGAAACTTCTTGCTATTGCCATAGGTAGCTATAAATTAGCCCAATAATGCCACAGTGGACACTATCACCCATACCCTATAGCTTAATAATGTACAATAACTAATCAGTGTTATTTCTGTAAACCAATGAGAGTTCCTGACAAACAAGTTTGTATCATCAGCCTACTCCCTCTCCCTGTGCCCATCTTTTTTTTTTTTGCCTTTAAAAATCCACTTTTAACTGCTGCTAATCAGAGTGTGTTCAGGGCAACCTGAATCTATTCTCCCGTATTGCAATCCTCAAGGCTGGCCCAAATAAACTCTACTTATATTAATTTTGCCTCAGCTTCTTTCTTTTATTTTTTTGAGATGGCATTTCCCTCTCGTTGCCCAAGCTGGAATGGAATGGCACCATCTCAGCTCACTGCAACCTTTGTCCTGGGTTCAAGTGATTCTCCTGCCTCAGCCTCCCAAGTAGTTGGGATTACAGGCACCCACCACCATGCCTGGCTAAGTTTTTGTGTTTTCAGTAGAGATGGGGTTTCACCATGTTTGCCAGGCTGGTCTCGAACTCCTGACCTCGGCTGATCCATCTGCCTCAGCATCCCAAAGTGCTGAGATTACAGATGTGAGCCACCATGCTGGCCAGTTTCTTCCTTTTAGGTCAATATAACGTACTTTGCTCACAATGATTTTGCCCAACTGTAGTCTAATGCGAAGTGTTCTGAGCATGATTGCTAGGCTAGGCTTTGATGTTCACATGATGATAGTGTTAGGTATATTAAATGCATTTTTAACTTAGGAGATTTTCCACTTATAATGGATTTATTAGATGTAACCCCATTGTAAGTTGAGGAGTATCTGTATTTTGCTTTTGTCTTTTGGGAGAAGGTTGCAAACTAAGGCAGAAATTAAATAATTCCTACCTTCTGGAACCTGTGGATTTACTGCACAGTACCTTTAGAATTGTTACCAGTGGAGAAAACAACTGCCTAACCATCACCTGATGGTTGTCTGATTCCTGGTCAGGCAGAGCCCTCTCTCACCCTGCTCATCCCTGACTAGCCACCTACTATAACAGAATGTTTTTATAAATTGGCTGGGTGCGGTGTCTCACACTTACAATCCCAGCACTTTGGGAGGCTGAGGCAGACGGATCACTTGAGTTTGGGCAATCAAATCCAACCTGGGCAACATAGTGAGACCATGTCTCTACAGAAAATACAAAAATAGCCAGGCATGGTGGTACACTCCTGTAGTCCAGGCTATTTGGAGGAATGAGGTGGGCAGATCACTTGAGCTCAGGAGGTTGAGGCTTCAGTGAGCCATGTTCATGTTACCATGTTATGGTACTCTAGCCTGGGTGAGAAAGCAAGACCCTGTCTCCAAAAAAAAAAGTTTTTATAAATTGTTGCATGAAGGCTTTAGGTTGTTTACTTTTTTTTTTTTTTTTTTTTTTTTGAGGCAGGGTCTCACTCTGTTGCCGTGAATGGAATGCAGTGGCACAATCACTGTTCACTGCAATCTTGACCTCCTGGGCTCAAGAGATTCTCTCACCTCAACCCCACAAGTAGCTGGGAGTACAGGAATGTTCCACCATTCCTGGGGGGTTTGTTATTTTTTGAGAGACAGGCTGGTTTGTTGCCCAGGCTAGTCTCAAACTCCCGGGCTCAAGTAATCCTCCTGTCTCAGCATCCCAACGTGCTGGGATTACAGGAATGAGCCACCACACTTGCCACACTCGGCTTACCTTCTTTCTAAGTGAAGAATTCAACCTTAGAGGGAGAAAGCCTCACAATCCCCTTTATTAAGCCTTGAATGTCAGTCTCCGAATGTGTCATTTCCTGGTCTTTCATGGGAGTCCAAGGAGTGTTACTAGCCATCATGAGTGGGAAGAACACCACTTAGAAGTCTGTTGGGGGTCCTATGAATCAAGTTGTGGATAGCCACTAATCTTTCTACATCCTTTCTAAATTTGGTAGTATCTTCAGAAAGTGGAAGTAAAAGAGATATTAAATTTAAAAGATCTGCTACTGTCCAGGGTAAATGAATTCTTCATGGTGGGAATCCAGGATACATTCACAATGCATATTGCATGAGAAGACCTGAAGCTGATGGGATCTGATTACAGAGTCCTAGGAAGAAGATGGAATTATAAGGGACAGTAAAATAATCCATGCTGCGTATTCAAGGAACCTCTGCCAGAACTATTTGTGGATACCGTCATTTACATAACTAATGTGTATCTCTATACCTGTAGGTCAGGCTAGATTACTTTTTGCAGTCTTGCAAAGATAGAGAAGTTAAAGTGGACAGTTGAGTGATTGAGGGATTTTCTGGGAAAATCAGAGGAGTTTCAGGAATTAAAGGAATTTTTGAGGCGGTAGGGCCAGATTGTGGAGACAAGTATTTGAAGCAGAGATCCAGAGATTCAAGAAGTCTTCTAGAGGGTCAGGGAAAGTGAGTTGGAGTAAAGGGAAGTGTAGGAGGAAAGTGAGAGGGGGAATTTACGATGGGTGTGTAATGTAACTTTAAAATATGATTTCTGCTCCTTAAACTTGTTAAGAGAGTCTTTTAGGCTAGACATGGTGCTTTTTGCATCCTCTTTCAGTTTTATCCTCCCATAGGTACCAATAGGACATCTGTTTAGAGTGAAAGCTAAATACTTTTAAAAGGATTTAAAATTCTTTAAAAATAGAAAAGCTTTCCAAATCAAAGTATATCTCCAAAGGCATACCTATTCTTAATGTGACCCAAAACCAATAAGCCTTTTTATGGCTTAACCATGGTCACAAGAGGCATTCTCAAAGAGGATGCAGAAGATGTAGCTCTCATGATCCAAAGGCATACCCAAAGATAGCCAAAAAGAATGAAAGCAAAGGACTTCATTGTCATAGGCAGTGAAGAATGGTGTTTGTGAAAAGTCATGTCTCCAGTCTCCCACAATAGCGAGATGCTGCCAATCACAGCCCAGCTATGAGACTGACACCAGGCAGGCAATACTGAGATGGGGCATGCCCAGTACTATCAAGGCAATGTGGGAAGAGACAAGGGCTCCTTATGGACTGGGGCCTTTTATTTAGACTAATTATTTGAATGCAAACAGCAGAAGTGGAAAAAAACAAAACAAAACTGTTTAGACTAATTCCTCTGAGAGCTGGCATGGTCAGACAGAAAGGGTTGCTTGTGTCTTGGGTGCCTATCCTGACAGTTAGTCACCTCTAGACAGAGGCCCAAGAAGCTGTGCCTGCCACTCTTGCTCCCCCTGCAGGCAGAACACCAGAGCGAGAACACTCACTGGATCCAAGTCAAGCTCTCAGAACACAAAACAAGAAGGAAGGAGAACCTTATCCAGTATTTTTTATCAGTGACCCACAGCAAAGTTTGTCAACATGGATGCTGGGTTGGTGAGAACGATAAATTCACCAGTCTGTGAGGCTGACTTGAACAATGGGCTTGTAAGCTTACTCCTGTGTTCGAAGAACTAGCTCTTACAAACTTTTTTTTTTCCTGTTAAGCTAAGTTTAGAAAGGAAGAGTCTCTTACAGGCCTCACTTAACTGGACTCTTAGCAGAAATCCAAGGCGGCTGCATTGATAATTATTCTTATCTTGCCAGCTTTGCTGGATGTCCTGAGATCTCAGCCAGAGCCTCAGGAGCAAGCAAAGACTTCAAGCCCAACCATCCCAATCATCACCAAAACTGTCAAGGGGAGGAATATGTTTTTTGCCACCCTCTTAGATCAGTGACTTGGGGCCTTACAAAAAATAACTAAACTCAAAGAAACAGTTAAACTCAGAGACTTGCATACCATTATGACAAAGGGAAAGAGAGTTGGGCTTTAAAACCCAATAATAAATCATGGAGAAGTGATTAGGAAATATATGGGAGAACTAATGGAGAATAAGGGTTATTTAAGCAAGGTCTGTTTATGCAAACTCATCTTACTCTCTGTTCTCCATGTCCAGTGATGAGCCACTCTCCTCTTCCTAGTACAGGAAAGGGAAACATCACAAAAGAAAATTTATGTGCTGCGTTTAGGCAGATAAGGGAAGAGCAGAGAAGTCCTCCTGCAACTGTTGATTCTCAGTTGCCTTCAACTCAAAATAAATCTCATACAAAAGTGGCAAA